TTTTTTTTTTTTTATTTTTTTTTTTTATTCCATTTTTATTTTTATTTTTTTATTTTTATTTTGTTTATTTACTTTCCCCTTTTAATTTCCTACAGCTCTTAGGACCCCTTTTTTATTTTATTTATTTAATTTTTTTTTTTGTTGTTGTGTTTTTACTTTTACCTTATTTTAGTTATTTCACCATCACCATCGTCGTTTTTGGATAGGATTACAGTAGTTCGAGCAACTGTTGTTTCCTTAGCGAGTTATACAGGTTATTAGTAGCATAATCCCTGTTTCCTCTCTACTTCTCCTCACGCCTCAGTGCCAGGCCTAATACGTTGAAGGGCAGCTACCATTGCAACACAATGTAGGCTAACATAAAACTAGAAACAATTCCCACTGTTTCTTTTTCTTTTGACGAGGTATTTGGTGGGTCCCTGCTAGTTTAGCTAACAGCCTAACCCTTGGGTTATGAAGTCTATTGCAGCATCACACACAAGTGAAACCTGCTTAGCCATATCTCTTAGAAAACAACTAAAATAGGTAAAAATGTTCCTTTTTTTTTTTTAGTTCATCTTATTTTATTTCAGTTTCGTCATAGTGACCAAACCCGTGAACCATCAGTAGTATAGCCCGGTCATCAGCTGACCCCTGCTTACGGCCCCTCAACAAAGTTACTCAAACTCTTCCTTTGTGTTCACGAACAAAAAAACATAGCACCTTACCTCACTAGCTGCCTCCCACCAGCTAGTCATACCTTACACGGGCTACACAGCCGTTCCCCTTAGAGATAGTTTAACACCTCTGTACGTACCTGCATTTGCCTTGTGTCTCTCTCTCTCTGGTGTTCCCACAAGTGTGCCAGTATGTCGCAGACATTCCACAGACATCCAGCCCTGGCAGCTCACCAGGACCACCTGGACACTCAGTAGAGCACTGTAATGGACATCATTCAGCTCAAAGCAGCCAACGACCTGCCATGGCAAAGAAAGGAACAGCGAGACTGCGACATAAGCGAACACTTGACCAGCATCATCCTCTCCTCGGCCCACACCCTCAAGGGCCTCAGACAGGAGGTATATGAGCTGAAACTGCAAGTCACAGAATTCTACAGAGAACTGACACCTGGTCAACGAGAGAAAGCACAGAATGGATGCAAAGAACCCCACAGAATGGTGCGACAGAAGGAAATCACCAGTCTTCACAGAGGCTCTAACAGCTGCTAAACACCAGGCGCCGCTGGAAAAAGCCATCACACAGGACTTGAAAAGAGAACTGTTTCACACAAAGTCACTCTTAAAACAACTTATGTGGAACTAAATGAGAGAGACACCACATCTAAGGCCTTACAAGGCCAGCTGCATTCAGCCAGAGCTGAGGTCCAAACCCTGACTCAGCAATTAGAAAGGAGCTTGACTTGGTTCAGAAAGAATTTAAACAGTCCTACCGACTGCGCATAGACTTAAGCAAAAGACAGCAGGTTGAACACCACGTCGCCAGCAGTGCAAGCCCTCCATGCCTGTGCACAGCTACGAAAGGGGGGAAAGGGAGCCAAAGCCTTCTGCTTGACACTTCACAAGTCAGCTCCTTGAAAACCTCTGCAGCTGCAACAAAAAAAAAATTTTCAGGCGAACCGAAGCAACGCAACGAGGTGAATTCAGTGTCACAAATGAACTGAAATATGCTTGCAGACCACAAGGTGAACAGACAGGGAAACACGAAACAGAACTTCCCCTGGCCAGCAGGCCCACCCCCCTCAGCCAAGAGTCTGAACCTGCGAGGGGGGGGGCGAGAGCCACTGTTCACACGTCACCAACCAGCAGCCACAAGGGGGTGGGGCAGGGACTTTTCCAGAGGATCACTGCAGACACACACACCGTGTGACCCCAACGAGCTGGCCAGAGACAACACATCTGGCAACCTAAATACTCTCAGACCCAGAGTCTGAACATGGACTGATCGCTGCCCCAGACACCAAGCAGGGCCGGCGTGAAACTCCCCATGCTTACTACCACAGACTTTGACAAACTTACTCCAAGCTCACGATTACCCTGGGATGGCGGAGGACACCAGCTGCAAGAAGTCATCTAGGCATTAGGGCCTGCCGCACAATGCCTAATCAACAGCTGTGTAACCTGACACAGAAGGCCTTTAACAAGCAGCAAGGCCTCCACTAAAGGTGTTTGTCAAACCCCACTGATTCTGAACTTCACAACTCAGAATCCAAAGCGGGCACCAGAAGGCACCCAGCATTGCCACAATGCAAAACCCTTCTACAGAAAGCCCCTAGCCAGAAGAGGACGGAGCCATCACCATGGCAACGGACCCAGGTTCCAGACCAACCACTGGGAACAGGCGTCCTCATCCTGCAAACACCACGGTATGTCCGACAGCAGTCCACCACAACATCCTCCTCCACACGGGTGCTGAACGGAGGCTACACAAGGACAGCTGGACACGCCTACGTCTGGGTTACAGGAGCTGCTGACACTCGCAAAAGAGCTCCTTGAACAAAACTCAACTAAGGAGTATTGAGAAGGACAAACCTCTGACTCCTTGCCTGCTGCATCACAGCATCAGGCCCCTCCAAGGGAGGAGCATCCCTTGAAACCGGTCGACACCCCTAGAAGCAGCCAGACAACGTTGGATTGAGCAGCGGGCCCACATGCCCAACAGCGAAAGCTCTACCAACACAACTCAGGCAAGCTCAAGTCGGTGCCGCCACAAGAGCCAAGCGACACCGCAAACATCAGATTTCTAGTGACGTTCGGGCAGAACAGAGAGCTAACAACCACCTGCTGCTCTCCTGCCATCATCACTAGGTCAGTCTGAAACTCTCTGCACACTACAAAATCTCCATAACAATTACCTGCAATCCCTGGAACCACCTGCACTCTCACCAGTGAGAGTCTAACCCGGCTGTTCCACATCGTGGGTACCACAGATAGCCTACTGGCTAACAGCATCAACAAAAACATCCTGCCCGGACTAACTCACTTCAGGATGACAGGTGACACAGCCTCGACACCTGCTGCATAAGCTCGAGGACCCACACCTTGCTACAGCCTACATCACCACAGCACACCACCTGACAGCATCCACCACGGCACCAACAGCCAAAAAGCCACCACTGGCTCCCAGCCGTGAGTGGCAGGTGTGTGTTCGATTGTTCTGCACCTTGACATCGCTCGTTGTTGTCTATTCTATGGACAACAACGTTCGAAAGGGGGGGATTTGTAGCGTCTGGGACACTCCAACACACAATATATATTTTGTTAGCTAGATTTCACAAATACTTTGTAACACCCCAGGACGCCGAACAAGACCCTGGTTTCATGGTAACCCGATACATTTACAACCTTGTGGAATGCGAGCCGGCTCTCATTCTGCTTTCTCCAGAAACAAAGGGACACAAATGCACAGGAGAAATTGACTTTTCTACTAATTAATTCATAGGAAAACCTTCTTTGAATGAACACCCATTTTCTTCAGGCCATTGTGTATATTATTGCTGTGTTGTATTTAATCTGTTGTATTATAGACTATTTTTATTCATGCTTACGATAAACCACTCATTCATATAAGTAACTCTACCATGTCTAGTATCTATGAATTCGTCTTCGGATGATCTAACTGAGAGTGCATATTACATGCTGATACCTCTGCAACATATTGATGTTCTAAGAATCGGTACTAATTTGTGCCTCAACACTCCAGCGAATTACATATGCAAAATACCATGCTTACAGACAAAGAGTCATAAAAATCCCCAGTATTTCCAACCTCCCGCTTGGGATTTCAGCCTTCCTCATTGGATGAACCCATCTTGAGAGGCGTGAATCTCTGCAGGCTTTAAAAGGCCACACTCCATGTGACCCGCCCTGTTCGGTGGTTCAGTGAGATGCTAAGATGAAGATGTGAGAAACGCTCCAGGATACCAAAGCTCGTGCCAGGCTCCGGCCTAGTCCTTTTCATTCATCAAGTGATTCTGACTCAAACTAGCTCTTTTTCATCAACCAACTTCAGCAAGATCTTGGGGCCTTAAGATTGCATCAGGAATCTTTTTCAGACTTACGCAAGTATCAAACTTAGTCGATTTAATTGATGCATTAAGTATCAGTTACACCTTTCTACAAGGTGTGTTTGAACTCAGAATCTGACGTATTCCTCAGGCTTAGATCTGCTGAATATGCAAATGGTTCCATAAATGTTATTCCTTATGTCTCTTTCTTTAGTGCTAAACTTTAACCCTTTCCTATACCAACTGTATGTGTGTGTGTGTGTATGTTTATGTTAGACCGGCTTAATGTGTTTGTGTAGTATGTTAGACTAGTTTAAGTTTTTATGTAGTTAATAAAACCTTACTTGTATCACACTTGGCGTGTTCATTGTTTACTCATAACCGGAGTCAATAATCATGCAGATTTACGTTACAAACTTATAGAATTGTACAGTAAGAAAGTTATTTCCTTTAACCAGGAAATTAACGTTCTTAGAATTGACAAGACGGTTGACCCTGAGTGGTCAGCTAAATATCTACAGTGGATCTAAAATATTAATAATTAATCATAATTAGTTATGGTTAATTATTCATATTTCCCCATGAGTTAAATTCGCTACAGCTTTTTTAATAATTTTTAATTAACTTTCTGAGATCGTGATGATAGCCTACATCAGTTAACTAAGTGAAGGGGAAGCAGGTGCTTGCTCAGCAAAACATGCACGCTGCACGTGTCGACACGTGCCCTCGAGTAAACAAATACTGTATGCATAGCATTATTTTTTCTTTTTCCATGCAGCAAACTTAAAAATATTTGTGAAAAAAAACATGGCAAAAAAACTTCTAAACCGTTTAACTGATAGTATAAATCGGGTAAAATTCTTACTTTCAATTAATGGTTAAAGGCACAAGGCAGCAAAATATATAACGCTGTTCTAGTGTTTTTTTGATATTTTAATAAAAAAATCTTACATATTGTGCATTTAAATGGTCAATATGAGTATCCCTAGTTGCTAGAGTGTTGCTATAAGGTAATTTGGGTGTTCTGGATGGTTGCTAGAGCATTACTAGGTTTCTGTTGTGTTTAAAGGCTGGAATACACTACACGACTTTTAAAATCTGAACAGATTTTTAAACACTAGGCTTCGTATACTTGCCGACTTTGTAATTAGTGGTGACAAAGGAAAATTGGCCAGCATACACTACACGCCTGAGGATGATATTCTAGCAGTCGTTCTGATCACATCAAACTCACGCAGAAATGTATGCCTTGTTGCTAGGAGATGCTTGACAAATGTTAATATCAAATCGGAGTCTGTGACCATCATACACTACGTGATTTTCTTTGGAAACTGTCAACTCAAATCTGCAGGCTAGCTCTGACTTTCGGCAACTAGCGTCAACTTCTCAACTGTTCTGATGGTTTCTAGGGTGCTCTAGTGGGGTTGCTGTTGTTGATTCTACGGTTCATTTTACAAAAACTCATATTTGACTTTAAACAACAGTCACATGATAGTTTCTGTCTGATGTTCTGCTCCAGGTCCAGCAGTGCACAAACATCAGTACTCTTCACACGCGGTGACCGACATCAACCTGGACAACGTCTGCAAGAACGGAAACACCCTTCTGTGGGACCTGGTCCAGGACGATAGTGCGGTATGTTTACCTCGCAGCAGACTATTTGAAGTGTTTAACATTTAGATTGTGATTCTTATGTGTTTCTGGTGTTGTCTTGGTGACTAGATCCACCTGTCGGAAGGCTTGATCAATGAGGCAGAGAAGCTGTTGTGTTCTCTGGTCTGCTGGTTCACTGACCGTCAGATCCGCATGCGTTTCATCGATGGCTGTCTGGAGAACCTCGCCAACCACCGGTGAGGCCATCACAGATATATGAAGTGCTGTAGGAAATTGCTGAAGAGTTTGGGGGTTTTCTAAGGTCCAGTAGGAGATATTTCATTGTTTTGTTTCTGCTTGCGTTCATCAGGTCAGTGGTGGTGTCTTTGCGTTTGCTGCCAAAGCTCTTTGGGACCTTCCAGCAGTTCGGCTCCAGCTACGACACTCATTGGATAACCATGTAAGAAACTCCGCCCACCACTGCTCTCCATGTTGTTATTAAGTGGAACTTAAGAACACTTTACAGATAATTTTGTGCTACAGGTGGGCGGAAAAGGAGCTGCACATGATGAAGCTCTTTTTTGATGATCTGTTACACTATATCCAGGAAGTGAGAGAGCAGCGCCACAAATTCGCTTTGTAAGTTTGGTGTCTTTATTTCTATATTACTGTTCAAAAAATTTGGGGTCGGTACGATTTTTTTTCAGTGTTTTTGAAACGTAATTCTCACCAAGCTTGCATTTATTTGATCAAAAATTGTGTAAAACTCTAATATTGTGGAATATTATTTTAATTAATTTAAAAGACCTGTTTTCTATTTGATTATATTTTAAAATGTAATTTATTGCTGTGATCAAAGCTGAATTTTCAGCATCATTACTCCAATCTTCAGTGTCACATGATCCTTCAGCAATCGTTCTAATATGCTGATTTGCTGCTCAAGAAACATTTTTAGTTCTTATCAACGTTAAAACAGTTGTTTTAAAAAAAAAATTCAAAAATTTTGCAACATTATAAATGTATTTACTGTCGCTTTTGATCAATTTAATGCATCCTTGCTGAATAAAAATCTTAATTTCTGTAAGAAAAAACAATGTTTTGTCTGAATTGTGTGTATGAAGTGCTGTGTTAACACCCCGTGTGTCTCAGGTACAGTCACAGTGCGGAGGTGCAGGTGCGTCTGCAGTTCCTCACCTGTGTGTTCTCAACGCTCGGATCACCTGACCACTTCAGTGAGCATCTCTCTTTATCTCTCACACACCACTGCATGTGAGAATCACTCTATATTAATATCCTGCCTGTGTGTGTGTGTGTGTCAGGGTTGAGTCTGGAGCAGGTGGACATCCTGTGGCACTGTTTAGTGGAGGACTCTGAGTGTTACGACGACGCCCTGCACTGGTTCCTAAACCAGGTCCGCAGTAAAGACCAGCACGCCATGGGCATGGAGACATACAAACACCTCTTCCTGGAGAAGGTCTGGTCACCGTATCATTGAAACACATCTTTTATACAGTACATGCCGTGAGAATGATTCTTTTATCGGCTGGTTCTCTCTCTCTCTCTCTCTCAGATGCCTCAGCTGAAGCCGGAGACGATCAGCATGACGGGACTCAATTTGTTTCAGCATCTGTGTAATCTGGCTCGTCTGGCCACCAGCGCCTACGACAGCAGCTCCAACTGCGAGGTTCACAGCAGCGGATCTCAAAATCTCGCCGGCGGTTTCTCTCGATGTGTTCTCCCTGACCGTTCTCTCTCTCTTTCTGTAGTTGTGTGGTATGGATCAGCTGTGGGGAATCGCGCTGAGGGCTCAGTCTGCAGACATCAGCCGCGCTGCCATCCAGTACATCAACTCCTATTACATCAGCGGTCAGTAAACGCCAAGCATAATTCATAACCATTAAACATTTACAATTCTCAATTTTCGTCATCAAATCACCTGTATTTTTATAACCCTTTATGCAATCGAGATTCAAAGCAGATTGACGGTATTAAACAAAGGAACAGAATAAGTGATTCAAACTTCAAAAATGAGGCAAATCCAAATTTAGCTATAAATCAACTGGCAGGACAGTAGTGTCATTATTCATTTCAGGTCAGTTCAGTATTTGTTCGGTTCAGTTCAGTAACTGTAAGTTAATTCATTATGAAACAAGTTCAATTCAGCGATAAGCAGCTCAACTGAACACACTGCTGTCATTATTCAGCTGATGTCAGATCAGTGTTGATTTAGATTAGATGCAAGAAGAAACCTTTTTTAGCAGCTTTTAATACTGCTAGACATTTTTAAAGTACTTGAAATGTTTTTTAAAAAGTTTTACCTGGAAATTATTGGTCTTGTTTTTTATTATGTTGTAAGCAGGGTTATTATCGTTAACTAAAAATATTAAAAGCATTTTTGTTCATTTAAATAAAGCAGAATAAAATGTAAATATTAGATGGAAAAAATGTAAAGTAAACAAAAATGAATGTTGCCTGGAAGTTAACTGCGAAAGCTGAAAGAAGAATAAATAAAGCCTAAATAGTAATATTAAAAATATACTAAATTTAAAATGACAAAAAAAATGTAACTGACAAATTCATCAAATGGCAGGTGTTTTTACATCATTTGGTTGCATAGAATAAGGGTGCTTTCACACTTGGTTAGATGGCCTGGTCTGAACCCAAGTTCGATTGCCCCGCCCCCGCTGGACTACGTTCATATTATTTTATTTGGGTCCGAACCACGGTTCGTTTGCGTCATCAAGCCAGCAGCTGTTTACCCCGTTGCATAGTAACGACGGCGCAGGAGAAGGCGGCAAATTCATAACATTGCTCTCTGCACTTTTATATATTTACGTTTTTGAACCGTTCATTTTGTTTACAAAGCTTCGGTATGTAACGGCACTTACGTCTGTCTTACGAATGTACTGCAAATGATCTAAAGAACGCTGAAGGTGAACTGAAATGAGACATACAGCTCTCTGTTTGCAGCACGTCAGTCACGCTCGTCAGGAAAGTGAGTGAAACGCACACAAACACAAATATTTATCAAATAATACATCATTAATTGAGGTTCACTTCCGCGATTTGGTACGATTGCATTCACATCATCAGGGAACTCTACCGGAGTTCACTTGAACCGTACCCCAGACCACCCTTTTTAAGCAGACTCGGGTACGGTTCACGGGTGCACACCTGAGTTCGGAAGACCACGTTCACATCATCCAAACGAACCGAACTCTGACGTCCAGTGTTGGGGAAAGTTACTTTTAAAAGTAATGCATTACAATATTGCGTTACTCCCTAAAAAGTAACTAATTATGTTACTTACTTTTTATGGAAAGTAATGCGTTACGTTACTTTTGCGTTACTTTTTAAATCTGGACAGGGCTTGCTTGTTTGTTTTTAAAATAAAAAAAGTTATATTTTTGGCAAATATAAAAGCCTTTTCACACCAAAAGTGAAATGAATAAGCCTCAGGCTGAAGGGAAAGTAAATTTACGTCCGTACAGTAGAATGCAGAAGAAGACATTTCAACACACTTCAGCAATAAAAAAAAGACACACACATGTTCGTCTAGAGTAATTTGTGCTTATTAGTACGGTTGAACTGGATCATTGAAGGTCAGAAGCAAAGACATTGCTTAATAGAATGGGATTAAATACATAAAGGATATTTGTGTTGTTTAACATTTAATTATTGCAGGTTTGCGTCATTTTCTGAGTTGCATTATTTTTATTCATTTTGAGGAATACTGAATCTGTGTTTAGTTTTTTTGTTTTTTGAGGGAGATGAATTAATGCATATTAATATTTATTTTAGAACTACTGGAACATCTTCTGATTTCTCTCAACATGGGGACAGGAGAGCTGTCAATCAATAAATTGGAAAAAAAAGTAACTTGCGTTATTTGAAAAAGTAACTTGGATATTCTCTTGTAAATTAAAAAGTAATGCGTTACTTTACTAGTTTCTTAAAAAAAGTAATATGATTACGTAACTTGTGTTACTTGTAATGCGTTTATCCCCAACACTGCTGACGTCAATCGAACCCGGGTGCGCACCAAAAGTGCTAGTGTGACAGCACCCTTAATCTGCAATTTGTCCCATTGGACTTTGATGGTTGTGTTTTTGTTTTGGGTAATGCGATGTATTTATTAGTGTGTGTGACCGCAGGTAAAACGGGTCTGGAGAAGGAGCAGGAGTTCATCAGTAAGTGTATGGAGAGCTTGATGATGGCGTCTGCTAACCTGGAGAAAGATGCCCACTCCAGCCTGACCATCATAGAGAGAGGACTGCTGCTGCTCAAAACACACCTGGAGGCCTTCAGACGCAGGTACACACACTCCGTCACTGACATGAAAACCATGTCTATGTGAGAAATCATGTGGCATTTTAACATTTTTGGATATCAAAATTTGAACGGACACTGAATAAGCTGACAGCATGCTAGTAACCTCTATGACCTTCATCCTGTAAAAGAACACAGTTAAGTGTTAAGTGTGTGTGTTCAGGTTTGCGTATCACCTGCGGCAGTGGCAGATCGAGGGCACGGGCATCAGCAGTCATTTGAAAGCTCTCAGTGATAAACAGTCTCTCCCGCTCAGGATCGTGTGTCAGCCAGCAGGACTGCCTGACAAGGTATGCCTTCATCATCATCATCATCTTCCTCATCCCTGGTGTCTGCTCAGGCTGGGTTTAATGAAGCTTTCTGTGTGTGTGCAGATGACCATTGAGATGTACGCCAGCGATCAGGTGGCTGATCTGAGGGCAGAGGTCACGCACTGGTATGAGAACCTTCAGAAGGATCAGCTCAGCCAGCAGGCACAGCTGCAGGAGTTCGGTCAGACCAGCCGCCAGCAGGACTTCCCAGGTACATGCACACAGAAAACACACACACACACACTCTCTATTGGACGACTGTGACTCTATCGCATCTGAACCTCAAACAGAGCGTCCACTGACTGTATGATGTATATAGCGCACAAATGCCCATAAGCCAAAAAAAAAAAGTGTGTTTATGTATGTAAAATCTTTCATTTATATTTAGAAATGTATATGTGCAGTATTTATTAATATATAATTTGTTCTTTTTTTCTTTGGTAATTTTATATATATTATGTAATATAAATCTGTCCATCTGTCTATCTCTCTATCTGTGTACATCTTTATACATCCTATAATTTAAATATATTTTTATATTAAATATATTTTTGTTTATATATAAATTTATTCATATAAAATTATTCTATTTCAGTGATTTTATATTTTGGATATATATATAATTTAAAAGTAGAATTTATATATACAATATTTAATAATATATAAATTAAATATAAATTGTATGTATATGATATATATGGTATGTATATGATATATTTATATACATACATATGTATATGTATGTATGTATGTATATATCTGCTCTACGCTTTAGAAATCATAGAGGCCCTCGGCAAACCCAACCGCAGGATTCACCGCGAGTCTACGGTACACGTCCAGATTCACACACACACATCCGGTCCTGCAGATCTGTAAATGTCCTGTCTCTTGAAACACGTGTGTGTTTGTGTTTCAGGGCAGTTACAGTGATCTGTATCCAGACTCTGACGACTCCAGTGAGGAACAGATCGAGAACAGCAAGAACACTTGGAGTTGTAAGGTACAAACTCCTCCTCTTACACTTCCACTGAAAATCATGTTGTTATTGTGTTCACATATGAACTCGGTAACAATACTCGTTTGAACACCAAATTTATGGGTTTTGGTGAAACTAATTTGTAGTTGTTATCCTGTATGTTTGAGTCCACGTGCTCTGTATAGTGTGTATTTGAGCTGAATGACAGACTGCACCTGTGTCTCTCCTGTAGTTTGTGACGTCTGGAGGTCTTCAGCTTCTGCTGGACATTTTTAACTCTGCAATTTTAGAGCCGAAAGAGCAAGAGTCCTGGACTGTGGTGAGTGTCACGAACACATCGGTGTCATATAACGTTTGCAAGGGCTTTGTTCTTCTTTCCTTTTGACTTTGGAGTGAAGTAAGTCCAGGACATGTTCTTTTCCGCAGCTCTGCCATCTGTTGGACAGCTGTGGATATCATGTGTCTTCTCTTCTCTCTCTGCAGTGGTTGTTGGACTGTCTCGCGTGTCTGCTGAAGCTCATTTGTCAGTTCGCGGTGGATCCGGCCGATCTGGACCTGGCCTATCATGATGTTTTCGCCTGGTCTGGTCTCACGGACACACAGAGGAAGAGGGCGTGGCCAGGGAAGTCCCGCAAAGCCGCGGGGGATCATGGGAAGGGCCTGCATATACCTCGTCTCACCGAGGTGTGAAACTGCTTCTAAATGGATTTTTCTCTGCGTATGCTTGCTTTTTTCTAAATGTTATGATTGTCTTCTCTGTCAGGTTTTCCTAAGTCTTGTGCAAGGCACCAACCTCATCCAGCGGCTCATCAACGTGACCTACACATACGACAATCTGGCGCACAGGTGAATAACATGTGCAAACACTCCTTTTCATTAATTTTTTTATTTGCTTACCATTTTTCTGTTTTTTTTTTATAACCCTTCTGTCTTGTGATTGTCCTGCAGGGTTTTGAAGGCCCAATCAGATCACAGATCCAGACACGAGGGTAAGCACATCATTGGTTATATATCTGTGCACGTTTCTACTTTTCTGTCATTATTGGCGATGTTTGATTAATATTTATTCTTAATAATGTTCATGCAGTGACTCATTACTCCATGTGGCTGCTGGGGAGCTGGGCTCACTGCTGTTCTCTGGTGAAATCCAGCCTGGCTGATAGTGAACATCTGCACGACTGGCTCAAGAAGCTCACGCTGCTCATACCTGAGGTAAACGAATGAATGTCTTGATTTGATCCATTTCTGAAATTCATTCTATTGATTAAGGTCACACAAGGACACTAATTAAGGTCGCGTAGTAGGGCTGTCAAAATGGCTGAAAAACTGAATTAGAATTTTGTACTTAAATATGATCAATTGTGCTGGGCGACGATTAATCGCATCCAAAATACAAGTTTTTTTTACATAATATGTGTGTGCGTACTGTGTATATTTATTATGTGTATATACAGTGCACGTTTCTTCAAAGCAATAAAATAACACGACTACCTTTGAAAAAAGTGCATAATGTTTAAATTAATGTTTATAAATCGTATAGAATTAAGTTACTTAAAAATTAGAAACAAAACAGCATTATGTATGTATGTATAGTTTAAAAAAAAGGACCGAAAACCAATCACAAATAGTACTTTTTAATTAAAAAACATGCTGTTGGAGCTGCAGGAATGCGGTTTCGGATTGTGTTTTTATCGTATTGTTGTAATGTATCTGCAGACGGCGGTGCGTCAGGAGGCGTGCAGTGGTCTGTATAAGCTGTCTCTGTCAGGTCTGGAGGGGGGAGAATCCATCAATAGATCCTTCTTGCTGCTCGCTGCGTCCACACTGCTCAAGTTCCTGCCAGACGCACAAGCGCTTAAACCCCTGAGAGTAAGTACTGTACAAACACTGACAATGTCAATGTGCCATTGTTATTTTAGTATTTATGTATTTAGTATTTATTTGTATGCATGTGTATAAAAATTGATTTAGCTTTTCTTTATATTTTTGCCTTTCATTTTAATTTTAGTTAAAGTTTTTGGTAATTATATATAGTGCTGTCAAACGATTAATCACATACAAAATAAAAGTTTTTGTTTGCATAATATATGTTTGTGTTCTGTGTATATTTATTATGTATATATAAATACACACATACAGTATATATTTTGAAAATATTTACATGCCTATATTTATATTCATATAATTTATATTATAAATAAATATGTTTAATAAATAAACATAACCTATTTTTCTGAAATATGTGCATGCATGTGTGTGTATTTATATATACATAATAAATATACACAGCACACATACATGTATTATGTAAACAAAAACATTTATTTTGGATGCGATTAATCGTTTGACAGCACTAATTATATAATGCTTTGTCTGTTTTTTTTATATTTTTAGGTTTTTGTATATTTCTAAATAGTCATTAAAAATTAGAATTAAAATTTTTATTTTTATTATTTTTATTTCAGTTTTAGAAATTGCATTTTATTGTTCTAAATAGTTGTAAATTATTTTTTTTTCAGTTTTAATTTTATTTCAGTTAGTAATGTTTTAGTACTTAAACATTTATATGTTTTATTACTTTTATTTTAGTTGCAAATTAAAATTTTTCTTGTTATAATTTAAATGTAAATTAAAATAAAATAAATAATACAAATTAAATTACATTATGGCTCGGTTTCACAGATGGGGCTTAGCTTAAGCCAGGACTAGGCCTTAGTTCAATTAAGATATTTAAGCAGCTTTAATAAAAATGCGTTTAAAAAAAACGTTTGAGGTGTGCATCTTGAGACAGAACGATGGCACTGACATTTTAAGATATGTAAGAGCAAGATATTTTCAGTTGAGACAGCTCAAACATGCATTTTAGTCTGGGACTAGCCTTAAGCCTTGTCTGTGAAACCAGGGTTATATTTCTAATATTTTAATTCTATTTCAGCTTTATATCAGTGAACACAAATTTCTTTTTTATAGATTTAGTTTAGTTTTAGTTAATGATAACAACTCTTCTTAAGTGCTGGCTCAGTGTTATTTACCCATTTTATTTTTTGGGTGCACAATTCCTTTAAATGAGTGTAAATGTGTGTGTGTCGTTTCGCAGGTGGAGGATTTTGAGGAGGAGGCCATGTTTCGCACCGGCTGTAAGGAGTATTTCTGGCTGCTCTGTAAGCTCATCGACAACATCCATGTGAAAGACACTAGTCAGACCACCCTGCTGGACCTGGACGCTCTTGCGCGACACCTCGCCGACTGCATCCGCAGGTCAAACATGCTCCTTTTGCTAGGGATACTGCATCAGTTTCCTTCTGAACCCGTAACTTACAGCTTCAGAGCACAACCACGAGCAAACAAACTTTATTAGTTAGACTAGAGTGACATTTTAATGGAAAGTCACTGGTAACATTATGCTACTAGAAAGTAATTGAGCAAAAATGCATCATTTATCTTTGTGAATACTGTGAAACCACTGAGCTTTGAGCATGCTGTTGTTATATTTCTACTTGCAGTCGTGAGATTTTGGACCAGCAGGACGGGGCGATCGAGGACGACGGTCTGACGGGTCTCCTGCGTCTCGCCACCAGCGTCCTGAAGCACAAGCCTCCCTTTAAGTTTTCTCGGGAGGGTCAGGAGTTCCTCAGGGACACGTATGACCTGCTGTTCCTGCTGCCCAGCCTGAAGGACCGACAGCAGCCCAAATGCAAGAGTCCCGCGGCCCGCGCCGCAGCCTACGACCTGCTGGTGGAGGTGGTCAAGGGTTCGGTGGAGAACTACAGACTGCTGCACAACTGGGTCATGTCGCAGCACATGCAGGGTGAGCGCCACAACCGTGAGTGTATTGCAGTAGTTTCCTGTGGACATCTCTGACTTCTGTTGCTTTTAAATTAGGCGGATGAGTTAAAGGAGACGTATTATGCCCCTTTTTACAATATGTAATAAGTCTCTGGTGTCCCCAGAATGTGTCTGTGAAATTTCAGCTCAAAATACTCCACAGATCATTTATTATATCATTTTGAAAATGCCTATTTTGAGTGGAAGCAGAAACACGCTGTTTTTCGGGCCTGTCTCTTTAAATGCAAATGAGCTGCTGCTCCCCGCCCCCTTTTCAAGAATAGAGCTGCGCCATTACAGCTCGTACCTGCTAAAAACATCTGTTTTGGTTCTGATTATCATGTTTATCGCGCTGAAATCATGCGTTTTAAACCATATGAGTTTAAACTTCTGATATACGGTTTTCTGAGAAGCACACGCACAGAAAGCGGCTGTCACAGCATGCGAGTACTAAACTAAGTTCTCATTCACACACAAGTTAATGTTAAAAACACATGAGTTACAAAAACAGTCGGTTATGTCTGTGAAGGTAAACAGCTGGTAAACTAATCTGTGTGGCAGCAGCAATATACAGTCAATAAATAAATAATTCCTCTGCTCTGTTGTCTCCTCTGAGGCTGGGACTCTAATCAGTGTTCTGTGCTCGTCTGTGCAGCCAAAGACAGAACAGTTAGCATGTTTTGCTCGAACTTTCACCATGGCATTAGAACTAGTACACAGTTGTCGCTTGTGAAATCAAAATGATGGTGCCGTTGGTGTAAACGTACAGATTAAGGGGCGGTAATATTATAATGAGATCCCTTTGCCACGTCAAAGCGCACTCGTTTTCTCAGACGCTTGCAGAAAAAGGCTTACCAAAACAAAGTTACTGGGTTCATCTTTTTCACGCTTCCTTGGTTGGTAGATGCACCGGGGACCTGATTATAGCACTATAGCACTGGAAATGTCAGATTTTCATGATATGTCACCTTTAATACAATAAACGTCCTTAGTTAACCTTAAAGTACTTTAGCTAACATTGAAAAATTCCTCTAAAGCATTAATTATTCACAGTTAATGTTACTTTCAACATGTACTAATGCATTGAACTAACAAGAAACGGGTGTATTTTTATTAACTAACATTAACAAAGTTTCATAAATACTGTAACAAATGTGTTGCTCGTAGTTAATGCATCAACTAAGGTTAACTAAGAGAGGTTATTGTTAAGTGTTAGTTTATTTTTTTTAATCCTAACCCTTATTTAGATCTAGACAATATTAGAAACTAAATCATCTTAATTATTAGCAAGGCTGTCCTCATAAATTGATTTATAAAGCAATAAGCCCCAAGAAGCCGTGGTTTACAGTGAATTTATAACAGCTAAGGGGTGTTGTTAGGAGTGCCTAAACCCCCCTTAGCTGTTATCAATTCACTGTAAACCACGGCTTCACGGGGCTTATTGCTTTTATAAAACGGTTATACGTAGTAAGGTTTCACAGAATAAAACGGAGCAAATAAAGTGTAATGATATTAATAAAAACAGTATTCTTCCACCAAACAATGTAGTTCCTCAGAAACAGTTGTGGTTGCAACAAAGTGGTTGCCGAGAAACACACAGAAGTAAATAAAGGTGTGTGTTCGTAGTGTAATTTACAACGGCTTCGAACATGGCTCAACCAATCAGAATCAAGGACCAGAACCTTCCGTTTTATAAAGGAAGTTTCGCTATGCTTTTATATCTCACACGAATAAAAAAACACACAAAATTGACATAACATTTTTATTAATTTTATTGTTTTTAAATATTTATTATTTTAAATTTAAATTTTTTTTTTGTTGTTGTAATTTTAGTACTTCAATTTAAACTTATTTTATTTTAGTTGCCAAGGCAAAACTTCTAATTTTCATTACTTATATTATTTACTTTTCATTACTTGTATATTATATTATATTTATTTCAGCCTAATTTCAATTAACGAAAACAATTTTAATAGTTTAATTTCTTTAAACAATAGCAACACAGAAAATCCATTCTTATGTATGTACACAAGCGCCTTGGTTTGAGCTTTGTTTGTTTGTTTTTAGCATCTCATGCGCCATATAAATGGGATTACTGGCCCCATGATGATGTCCGAGCCGAGTGTCGTTTTGTGGGATTGACTAACCTGGGCGCCACGTGTTACCTAGCCTCCACCATCCAGCAGCTCTACATGATCCCAGAGGCCAGACAGGCCGTCTTTACCGCTAAAGTGAGTTTATAAAACTGACAGTCAGACCTGTTCTTTTCTGTTTGTAATATAGGATAAAATGTCATTTATTTCTGTGATCAAAGCTGTATTTTCAGCATCATTACTCCAGTCTTCAGTGTCACATGATCCTTCAGAAATCAGTATAATATGCTGATTTGCTGCTCAAGAAACATTTCTGATTATTATCAGTTGAAATAACTTAATATTTTTCCATAAAACTGTGATAGATTTAATTTCAGGATTTTCTAATGAATACAGAGTTCAAAAGAATGGCATTTATTTGAAATAAAAATCTTTTGTAATATTATAAATGTCTTTACTGCCTCTTTTGATCAATTTAATACATCCTCGCTGCATAAAAGCATAACTATGCTGTCATGTCATAAATGCACTAATACATAACAGGCCATGCGTTACCATCAGTCAACCATCTTATTGTTTAATAACACACAGACGCCATTGTTTAGTTTCAAATGCTTCAGGATGTTGTTGGATTTATGTATTATAGTAATATGTGTTTATGTCTGTGTTTTATATTCAGTATTCAGAGGACATTAAGCATAAGACCACATTGCTGGAGCTGCAGAAGATGTTCACTTATCTAATGGTACGTTACTTTATCAAATCATGTGATGCCCTCTCATGACTGCAGATGTGATGCGATTTGAATTTCTTCTCCGGTGTTAATGTGCAGGAGAGCGAGAGGAAGGCGTACAACCCTCGTCCATTCTGTAAGACCTACACGATGGACAAACAGCCTCTGAACACAGGAGAGCAGAAAGACATGACCGAGTTCTTCACAGACCTCATCACCAAGATAGAGGAGATGTCTCAGGACCTGGTACGACATCAAAACAGCTTTGAAAGTGCTTCGTGAAATAGTCATAGATGTGTAATGCTGCTTTGTCGTTTCAGAAAAACACAGTCAAAACGCTGTTTGGAGGCGTCATCACCAACAATGTGGTTTCACTGGTAAGACTGAGCTGTTTGAATCTGCAGCTCTTGTGTGCAATGTCTTTTCTGAAAGAGAGAGATCGTGGAGGAGTGTTTGATTGGATATCTGTGTGTGTGTGTGTAGGACTGTGATCACGTGAGTCAGACGGCTGAGGAGTTTTACACCGTCAGATGCCAGGTGGCTGATATGAAGAACATCTATGTGAGTGTTTCTCATTTACACACACACACACACACATAAACTCATCAGAAGGAAGCTTAATGCTCTGTGTACAGGTCACACAAAGTAACAGGATTTAAAGGATCAACTACTAAATACTGGCTTTTCAATGGCAGATTTTATGATGTTATGGAGGGTTTTAAAGTACCGATAGCTATTTGTAATTACTAATGCTAAAGCACTTTCAATTTAAGTTAATATTTGAATTGTTTACTGAGTAACTTCAGTAGCATTGCTCTGTTTTTATGTCTTTTAATAAATCTTGCATTGTAATTGGAAAAAAAAAATATTAGTAATCCATAATCTTTTGAAAAACATTTTTACAATCAACATGTTTTGGGTGGAAAAATGGCTAATAATAGCCTTGACTGTAAATAATGCACGCAATATTTACTGTCAGTTTCTTTATCTGCAAGTATTTTGTCTGCAAAAAAAATTGATCACTGTCACTTTTTCTCATGACAGAGATTGAAGAGGCCAAAATAAGTATAAAACATAATGAAATACTGCTCAAGACCATTTATGTTTGTACCTTGTTGACAAAAAGAAAATAACGTTATATTACGCTCGTAATGTGAGATTATATTACAGAGATTGAATGAGATTAAGCCATTATATCAAAAAATGCCTTAATTTGTTTTCTGTTTGAATATATTGTAGAATGTAATTTATTCCTGTGATCAAAGCTGAATTTTCAGCATCATTACTCCAGTCTTCAGTGTCACATGATCCTTCAGAAATCATACTAATATGCTGATTTACTGCTCATATATCATCTGTTAAGTAATGTGACAGGGTTATCCTGTTGGTTATATCAGTAATAAGTCAAGGAGATGAACAGAGCATTTCAAGTCCTTTTATTTCCCCCAATTGAGTTACGGAAACCACCACTGTCACACAACATCAACCCTCAAAACTAATATAAAAACATCCTCTGTGTCTGTCTCTGTGTTTCAGGAGTCTCTGGACGAGGTGACCATTAAGGACACTCTGGAGGGCGATAACATGTACACCTGCTCTCAGTGTGGGAAGAAAGTCCGCGCTGAAAAACGGTATGGTTTGCTCTTTTCCTTCTCTGAGAGCTGGAATCTTTCAGTATTTTTTGACGTCTCTTTCTGTCTCTCAGGGCTTGTTTTAAGAAGCTCCCGCGGATCTTGAGCTTTAACACCATGCGCTACACGTTCAACATGGTGACCATGATGAAGGAAAAAGTAAACACGCACTTTTCTTTCCCGCTGCGGCTCGACATGACGCCGTACACCGAGGACTTCCTCATGGCCAAAGGAGACAGGAAGGAAGGTAGAGCGATTTTATTTATTTTTTTGCTGAAACTCTTTTTAAATCACATTTGTCTTCTCCGGTCAGCTAATCGTGATCTCATATGCAGGTTTCCGTGACGACAGTGATGCCAAAGTGGCTGAGAGTTACGAGTATGACCTCATCGGAGTGACGGTGCACACGGGCACGGCGGACGGCGGCCATTATTACAGCTTCATCAGGGACATCGTCAACCCTCACGCTTACCGCAATAACAAATGGTGAGCATTCACACTGCATTTACGGCTGCTGAACCATTTCAGCCCAGAGTTTGGTATTGATAACTGACCATCGTATGTGTTTGTGATGTCATTTCCTGTTGCAGGTATCTGTTTAACGACGCTGAGGTGAAGCCGTTTGATTCGGCCCAGCTGGCCTCAGAGTGTTTTGGTGGAGAGATGACAGTAGGTTTTTTGATATTTTTGCCACCAGATCAAGTCCTCCAATAAACGTTTAGGGATACATGCCTGCAAACTAGTCACTTTTCGGCGAAATTCGCCATTTTGAATCAAAATAGGTAATTTATATGAATCGTCTAGATCCAATATTGACTGTTTTTACTCAAGTTCACTGACAAAGTTTCAATCAAAGCCACAAGCAGAACTGTTTTGTGTCTCCGAGCAACACAGCGGTCTTTCGATACTGAATGAATCCACGTTTTTGAACAAATCAAGTGAGTCAATGACTCCGTAACCCATTTATAAAGACAGTAGTCACTTGCCTCGTTTTTGAATGAATCAGCCGTTTGAATAAATGACTAATGACTCGCTCATTAAAACAGTCATTTACCGTCATGTATTGGTGGTTTGGTTTTATATTTAAAAGTATTGGATTTTTCCCAACTTTTTTAACTTGTATGTTCAAAAATATTTAAAACATTAATCTTATAAAATTATTTATGCATTTAAAATTTTGTTGTGTAAATGTATTTATGGCATTTCTAATGCCACTTCAGATGCAGCTTCTGTTTCCTCTGCAGTGAAAAGATGGAGTTTCTTGATAGTATGCGCACTCTAATGCGAACATTAAAATTTGCAAAAATAAATTACTCCACTGCTCACAAAGAGAAGTATGAACACCGATGACAACAGAGGTGCACTGTCCAAAAAGTTTGTGGTATAAATGTGCTTTTTTTTTTACTTGAAGCGTATGTTGTCTTTTTCCTTTATTTTGTTGTCAGAGTGCACCAGAACACTTCATTTACTTGATAAATTCTCAAAAATGTTCTTATGGGGGGATGCCCCCAGACCCCTTGATAAGAGTCATAATCAGAACTATGTCACCTTTTTGACCTCTTGAGAGTTTGCAGGTATGAGGATAAACTAATATAAATCAAATCTTGTTAATGTTGTTTTAATTAAAAAATGCTTGTCTCATTTTAGACAAAAACATACGACTCTGTCACAGATAAGTTCATGGATTTCTCCTTTGAAAAGGTTGGTTTTGCGATAATAACAATGATAATTATTATAAAACAACAGAATAATAATATAAATATAATTTGATATTGATTATTATTATCATCATTTTTATTTTACATATGATTTGTAATTATAGTAAAAGTCATGAATTTTTTGTACATTAATATTTTATGTAATTTGGTATTTATATATTGAAAATATAATTATTATTATTGAAATAAGTCTTGCTTGAGATTTTGAAATCCTCAGAAATAACGAAAGTAACGTGTGATGTGTCTGTCTTTCAGACCCACAGTGCCTACATGCTGTTCTATAAGAGAGTGGAGGTGGAGGAAGAGAATGAGAAGGACTTGAACTTTGACATTTCTCCTGATCTTCTGGAGGTACAGACCTCTCACCGTCAGTCTTCACTGCACACTTCTGAGCATTTCACTGACGCTTCATCTCTCTCTGTCTCTCTCGTAGTGGATCTGGCACGACAACATGCAGTTTCTCCAGGACAAGAACATCTTTGAACACACATACTTCGGGTAAGAGAACAGTCACAAACCTATGTACAAGGATGTCTTTGATAACTCTTTAATTCTTTTTTTATTCATCATTTCTAGTTATGTATGGTGATATATAATATGTCTATGTAATTTTTCTCTCCTCATTCTACTCTCTCTGTTATTTTGTCTTATTTTCTGTTCTCCTTCTTTACTTTTATTTTATTTGTCAATGTAAAACTAATTTTATTTCAAAATATATTTCTATGATCTGTCCTCTCATTCTCTTCTCTGTTCTTTTTCATTCTTTTCTTTTGTTGTTTCTCTGTAGTTTTATGTGGCAGCTGTGCAGCAGTATTCCCAGCACTTTAGCGGATCCTAAATCCGTGTCGCTCATGACGGCTAAGGTGAGTCTGGCCACATGAACAGCACCACACTAACTGATGAAGTGGCAGCTTTCAGATGAGTTACTGTCCACGGGGAAATAGGGAGGTTCATAATTTGAGTCGTTTTCCACTCTTTCGCTCACAGCTCAGCACATCGTTTGTTCTGGAGACATTCATCCACTCCAAAGAAAAGGTGAGATGGACTTTTTTTCTGTTGTTCTTCTATTGTAATTTACCGGAGAGTCCTGATGACATTTTCTGTAGTGTTCAATATATCTGTAGTGTAATTGTAAGTTAACATTTCATTCTTTTTTTTCTCTCAGCCCACAATGCTGCAGTGGATTGAACTCTTGACCAAACAGTTTAACAATAGCCAAGCTGCCTGCGAGGTAACACACACTAGTTTCCATGTTTTATGGGAACATTCCATAGATGTAGCGGTTTTTATACTGTACAAACAAGTATAAAACCCCTACCCCTAAAACTTTGTTCGATTTATAAGCTGTTTCCTTCATGGGGACCAAAAAATACCTCCACAAGGGACACACACTCACACTTTACATGCAGCTTCTTGTTTCCCTGGATCTTCTGCTCTGTCAAATAACTTTTGAGGCAAATGAATGGAGAGAGTTGATGATATCAGCAGTGTTGTTGGATAATGCTGTTTTGGAGATCAGTGTGTCTGTGTCTTTGTGTGCGCAGTGGTTTTTGGATCAGATGGCAGATGATAACTGGTGGCCAATGCAGATTCTCATCAAGTGTCCCAATCAGATTGTACGTCAGGTGAGTGTCACATAAACACCTTTATTTAAAGATTTTCCTTAAATGAAGATTATCTTTATTAACAGACAAACCCACACCCTTCCTCTATAAGAAAACATTTGCATTGAAAAAAATAGTTAATGTGCTTCTGAATGTGCTGCTGTGATGTTCCAGATGTTTCAGAGGTTGTGTATTCACGTGATCCAGCGCCTCAGACCGGTCCACGCTCACCTGTACCTGCAGCCGGGCATGGAGGATGGGTGTGTGATGCGTCCCTTTTTGTCTTCCTCTGATGCCAGATAACCATCCTGTCCTCATATCTGCAAACACATATGCTGTGATCCTGCGAAATTCTTCTAGAAAAGTTCTCATTTCTGTTGGTCTGCCTGCAGATCTGATGATATGGACGGGCCGGTGGAGGACATCGGCAGCCGCTCCTGTGTGACGCGGTTCGTCAAAACGCTGCTGTCAATCATGGAGCACGGAGTGAAGCCGCACAGCAAACATCTGACCGAATACTTTGCCTTTCTATACGAGTTTGCCAAAATGGGAGAAGAGGAGGTAACGACTATTTATTTATTTAAGCACTTATTTGTTTTTACTTTATTCATCTACCTACTTATTTTACTTATTTCTATTTATTTATTTTACTTTTTGTTTTATTTAATTTTACTTATTTTATTTATTTAACTTATGTATTTACTTATTTAATTTATGTATGCATGCATTTATTTACTTATTTCACTTAGTTATTTGTTTATTATTTATTTATTAAAAATTTGACAATTTTTAATGTATATTCTTTTTCTTCTTTTAATATTTTTCTTTTCTTTTTGTCTTCACAGAGTCAGTTCCTCTTATCTTTGCAAGCCATTTCTATAATGGTGCATTTCTACATAGGCACTAAAGGACCTGAAAATGTGAGTGGCGTCTCATCAAGGCTTGGATCTTCTCTGATTCAGGATTTTCCTGATCTCAGATCATAACGTCCATCTCTCTGTCTCTCAGCCTCAGGTGGAGGTGTTATCTGAGGAGGAGGAGGGTGAGGAGGATGAAGAGGAGGACATCCTCTCACTGGCGGAGGAGAAGTACAGGCCGGCCGCTCTGGAGAAGATGATTGCTCTCATAGCTCTGCTGGTGGAGCAGTCCAGATCTGAGAGGTGCACACTGAAGAATTGGGTTTAAGCTCACAAAGCATATCATATTTCACCCCAAATGGATCATATTTCACCTTTGAATTTTCAAAGAAAATGAAACCTATTTTAGGGCTGTTAAAGATGTTGAAAGTAATTTCAGAAGCGTCACCAAACAGAGTTGCCCCATCGGCCATTTTTACTGCAATAGAGTAGTAATCTCTGACCATCTGTCTCTGTCTATAGACACTTGACTCTGTCTCAGAGTGACATGGCCGCGCTGACCGGAGGAAAAGGTTTCCCCTTCCTGTTCCAACACATCCGAGACAGCATCAACATCAGACAGACTTGCAATCTCATCTTCAGCCTCTGCAGATACAACAACCGCCTGGCAGAACACGTAAGATCTCCAGAACGCTTACCGTTCTGACATACCACACACTTCGTGTTTTTATAGAAAGCTAATTGTAACAGCTAAATGTTTGTAACATAAACCCTACTTCTTAGCATTCAGACATTTGCTTTTGAAAGTTTCTTCTGCTCACCGAGGCTGCATTTATTTGATCAAAAATACAGTAAAAAGAGAAAAAAAATATTGAGAAATTACAATTTAAAACAGCTGTTTTCTTTTTGAGTATATTGTAAAATATAATTTATTGCTGTGATCAAAGCTGAATTTTCAGCATCACTACTCCAGTCTTCAGTGTCACATGATCCTTCAGAAATCATTCTAATATGCTGATTTGCTGTTTAGGAAACATTTCTGATTATTATAAATGTATCGATGCATTTATTCTAAATATAAATCTTTTGTGACATTATAAATGTCTTTACTGTCATTCTTGATCAATTTAATGCATCCTTGCTGAATTTCTTTAAAAAAAATCTTGTTGACCCCAAATGTTTGAACAGTAGTGTAGCTTAGTTCTTGAGACAGTCTTTTTCCTTAAAGTATATCTATACATGCAAACAATTGTATCAATCTGTTACATAAGGTCTTATGGTTTGTGTTCTTCTGCTGGTATAGATCGTGTCAATGCTGTTCACCTCCATCGCTAAACTGACTCCAGAGGTAAGAACAGCTCTGAGTACTATTGTTGTTTTAGTATTTTATTCTTACACACCCTAACTAACATTTTGCGTGTGTCTGACAGGCGGCAAATCCGTTCTTCAAGCTGCTGACGATGCTGATGGAGTTTGCTGCTGGTCCTCCGGGAATGCCCTCGTTTGCGTCCTACATCCTGCAGAGGATCTGGGAGGTAAATCTGTCCACACACAGTCCCATCACTCTTTCGCTTTCTCACTTCTCCCCTGGATCAGTGCTTTACATCAGTCTTGTGTCTATGTTGAAGACCTGCCTCTGCCTCACTGATCTGAGCGTCTGATCTCTGTCTGTCAGGTGATCGAGTATAACCCGTCTCAGTGTTTGGACTGGTTAGCCGTTCAGACTCCGCGTAATAAGCTGGCTCACAGCTGGGTCCTGCAGAACATGGAGAACTGGGTGGAGAGGTTTCTGCTGGCGCACAACTACCCACGAGTCCGAACATGTGAGAATACACACCAGTACACACACATTATATATATATATATGAAAAGTTAATGAATTTTAATTGTAAATGTATTTTGAATAGTAAAAATACATGTAAATAAATGTATACTACTTCTATTCAGCAAGTTAAATGGATTAAAAGTGACAGTACAGTCATTTATAACATTACAAAAGATTTCAATTTCAAATGAATGCTGTTCTTTTTGTACTTTCTATTTATCAAAGAATCCTGAAAAATGTATCCACATTTCTACAAAAATATGAAGCAGCACAACTGTTTTTAATATTATTAATAATCAGAAATGTTTCTTGAGCCGCAAGTCAGCATATTTTCATGATTTCTGAAGGATCATGTGACACTGAAGACTGGAGTAATGATGCTGAAAATTCAGCTTTGATCACAGAAATAAATTGCATTTTAAAATATGTTACAAGTTAAAAGTTAAAACTGTTATTTTAAATTTTAATAATATTTCATAATACTGTTTTTACTGTATTTTTGATCAAAAAGCCTTGGTGAGCAAAAGAGAATTATTTTAAAAACAGTACAAAATCTTTAACCAATATTATTTTAGAATTATTGATATACTATTATAGTTTTTGTTTATATTTATATTTTCTGTTTTCATTTTTAGTTTTAAACTTTTTGAAATTTTATCGTGTTGACATTTGTATTTGTTTCTTTTCCTTCAAATATGACTGTATAGTTTTAAGTTTGTTTTAGTTATTTTAATACTTCAACTAAAGCTAAACGAAAATGAGAACTGTTGCCTTTACAACTAGCTGTAATAAAATAATTTTATTTATTATAGTATGAATTTTATTTAGTACTGTATTTGTTATATTCATTATAGTAATTTAAGTTTTTATATTTTATAGCCAAGTAACTAAAATGTGTTTTTTTTTTTTCAGGTTTTAGTTTCTGCCCCAGACTTTTAGTAGTAGAATAGTAGTGTATATATGAATACACATTATAAGACCATCAAGAATTACACACCTGCTTAAAAATATCTGAATGTTCCTTAAATAACATTTTATGCATCCACACAAACATCTGCAAAATGGATAGCTTGTCTTATTTTTATAATAATCAATTATTGCTTGATAAAATGTCAGATTTGACATTATTTTGTGACATATGTAATGCATTTCTCTCTCAGCGGCAGCGTATCTGCTGGTGTCTCTCATCCCGAGCAACTCCTTTCGTCAGATGTTCCGCTCCACGCGCTCTCTTCACATCCCCACGCGGGACCTCCCGCTGAGTCCCGACACCACCGTGGTTCTGCACCAGGTCTACAATCTGCTGCTGGGCCTGCTGGGCCGGGCCAAGCTCTATGTGGACGTGCCGGTGCACGGGACCACCAAACTGGTGCAGTACTTCAGCTTTATGACCTACTGCCTCATCTCCAAAACCGAGAAGCTCATGTTCTCCAGCTACTTCATGGACCTCTGGAACCTCTTCCAGGTACTTCACGTGCAGATGAAAGCATGTCTAGGTGCTCATGTGATGCATATTTGTGACCCTGGACCACAAAACCAGTCTTAAGTCGCTGGGGTATATTTGTAGCAATAGCCAAAAATACATTGTATGGGTCAAGATTTTTCTTTTATGCCAAAAATCATTAGGATATTAAGTAAAGATCATGTTCCATGAAGATATTTTGTAAATTTCCTACTGTAAATGTATCAAAACTTTTTGATTAGTAATATGCATTGCTAAGAACTTCATTTGGACAACTTTAAAGGCGATTTTCTCAATATTTAGATTTTTTTGCACCCTCAGATTCCAGATTTTCAAATAGTTGTATCTCGGCCAAATATTGTCCTATCCTAACAAACCATACATCAATGGAAAGCTTATCTATTCAGCTTTCAGATAATGTATAAATCTCTGGTTTTGTGGTCCAGGGTCACATTTGAAGCTCTCATGTGTCTCTCTCGATCTCACAGCCTAAGTTATCAGAGCCAGCCATCGCCACAAATCACAACAAGCAAGCGCTTCTGTCCTTCTGGTATAACGTCTGCGTGGACTGCAGCGAGAACGTGCGTCTCATCATCCAAAACCCTGTCGTCACTAAAAACATCGCCTTCAACTACATCCTGGCCGATCACGACGATCAGGAGGTGGTGCTGTTCAATCGCGGGATGCTTCCGGCATACTACGCCATCCTGCGCATGTGCTGCGAGCAGTCGCCCGCCTTCACCCGCCAGCTGGCGTCTCACCAGAACATACAGTGGGCCTTCAAAAACCTCACGCCCCACGCCAGCCAGTACCCAGGGGTGAGTACAGTGCCTACAGTCCTTCACTTTAGCAGTTTCTGAACCGGTTACCAAAGTTATTACAAGACATATGAGCAAACATGTTTTTTTCTTTAATTTATGGCATAGTTTATCAGTAACTATGGCACTGTAAAAAAAAAAAAAAAAAGCTTTATTTTAGGGAATGTTTTTTAGAAAATTAGGGCCCTGAAAAAAAAAAAAAAAAAGCTTTATTTTAGGGAATGTTTTTTAGAAAATTAGGGCCCTGAAAAAAAAAAAAAAAAAGCTTTAATTTATGGCATAGTTTATCAGTAACTTTGGCACCGTTCAAAAGTTTGGGGTTAGTATGTTGTTGTTTTACGTTTTTGACAGTCTCTTCTGCTCGACAAGGCTGCATTTATTTGATAAAAAATACAGCAAAAAAAACTTTCATGTTGTGAAATATGAAATAACTCTTTTCTATTTTAATATAATTTAAAATGTTATTTATTTCTGTGATGCGATCCTTCAGAAATCATTCTAATATGCTGATTTGTGCTCAAGAAACATTTCTTATTAATAATAACTGTTGAAAACAGTTGTGCTGCATAATAGTTTGTAAAAACAGTTTTCTTTTTTCTGGATTTTTTTCTCTTTTTATTATTAATAGAAAGCTCAAAAGAACGGCATTTATTTTAAATAGGAATCTTTTTTTAGCATAATAAATGTCTTTAGTGTCCCTTTTAAATAATTGAATTTGTCCTTGGGGAATCATTCTTTTTTTATTACACATTTACTTACTTTTTTATTTTATATATTGGTTTAAATATTTGTTTTATATTTTAAATAGTTTAAATAATGTTTATTGCTATAAAAATTCAATCAAATCAGTGTTTATAAATGCTCAAATTTTGTCCCAACTTTTAATAACAGGTTTGCAAAAATTGTAAATCTCAAATAAAATAAAGCACTGCGTATAATAATACTAAATTTAGTTTGACCTGTAAAATGTATAAACAACATTTTCCGAGAGTTCACTGATCATTTTTTGTTTGTCTTCAGAGTTTTAAGCTTCGAGTGCCTCCTGTTTCTCACTGTGTTTCTGTCTGAAGGAATATGAATGTTTTAAGCCTCAACTATTCAGTTTAATTCAGTTCAAGTCAATAACACTGTGTTGTTTTTCTTTCTCTGCAGGCGGTGGAGGAGTTGTTTAACCTGATGCAGTTGTTTGTGGCTCAGAGGCCTGATATGAAAGAAGAAGAGCTGGAGGACGTGAAGCAGTTCAAGAAGACCACCATCAGCTGTTACCTGCGCTGTCTGGATGGGCGCTCCTGCTGGACCACTCTCATCAGGTACACACACACTCCATTAAGTCTGGTTGAGTATTTTACAAGATTGAGCCGTTTTCATTCATACTAATCTCTTTGTGTACTCTCAGTGCCTTCCGTATACTGCTGGAGAACGATGAGGACAGACTGCTGGTGGTGTTCAACAGAGGACTCATCCTCATGACTGAGGTATTCATACTCTCACTCACTCTTTTCATTCATCTTCATATTTTAATGGACTGTTGTATAGAATTAAACATTTCTCTGACTGCAGTCCTTCAACACCCTGCACATGATGTACCATGAGGCCACTGCGTGTCACGTGACTGGTGATCTGGTGGAGCTGCTGTCTATTTTCCTGTCTGTTTTAAAGGCAATGCGGCCCTACTTACAGCGCAAAGGTAGTGCATAACCCATAATACACCACACACTTTACTGATGTTTATGATTACCCATAATGCATATTAAACAAATAACTCCAGGGTTCTTCATTACTTATGGACCATAGCATGCTATATAGAATCTCTGTTATCCATAATGCACCATACACAATACAAAATTACTCAGTTACCCGTAATACACCTACACTTGCAATACAAGTACTCATTATGCATAATGCACCCTACCATGCAATGCAAAACTACTTGTTACCCATAATGCACCTTAATGTGCATTACAAAAGTACTCATTACCATTAAAGGGTTAGTTTACCCAAAGATTAAAATTACCCCATGATTTACTCGCCCTTAAGGCATCCTAGGTGTACTTTCTTCTTTCAGACAAATTCAATTGGAGTTGTATAAAAAAATGTCCTGGCTCTTCCAAGCCTTGTTCAACAGTCCAAAAGAAGTCTAATAAAGCGCATCCATAGAAAGTGCTTCACATGGCTCTGGGGAGTGAATAAAGGCAAAATCGTTTTTGTAAGAAAATATCCATATTTAAAATTTTATGAACCGTAATCTCTAGCTTCTGCTAACTGTTGTACGCGTAAGCCGTTCCGGGTGGATGACGTTGGTGTAGCATGCAGTACAAAAGAAAGTACTCATTACCCATAATTCACCTGAAAAATCAATACTAAAGTTCCCAATATCCCATAATGCACCTTATGAATTACAAACGTACTTATTTACCATAATAGATCTAAATGTGGAACACAAGTACTTCATTATCATTATTTAATATATCATGCAATGCAAAACTATTCAATTACCCATAATGCACCTTAACCCTTAAATGCATACCTCGGGTCTTTAGCAACCCGGGACATCATTCACTACCCTCTCCCTCCTTCATTTTTTAAAGTTCGACATCAACTTTCTTAGTATTCTTCAATCTATCCATTATAAACAATAAAACAAAAAAAATAATAAAATATAAAAGAGTGCCTGTTTTCTGATTAATTTTGTGTAAAAAAGTGTATAGGGTCACTAGAGACCCGAGGTATGTAAATGTGCAAGTATATTTTTCCTGCACAACTTTATTTACATATCTGATGACTCAATATGTGCAATGTATCTTTATTCCTCGAGGTGGCACTGTTTGATACACAATGATGAGGTGATGTTTCACTCATAATTACCGCAGGCATAAAACAAAAGAATATCATCAGCAAAAATGTAACCGGTTTGAATGGCTTTACTGGAGCGCAATTACTGTACGAAATGAAATATATATGTCACTGTGATGTGGTGAATAAACTGCCAGTGATCAAAATATTTAATATGAAGTCATTGAAAACGATAGTTTTGAGAATATGTTTGAGATCGCGAATTTGAGCCAGATGCTGAATGTACTGTGGAAGTGCTCTCTGACGATGACAGCGATGGTAAAATCATCTGTTCACATTGAACCCTTTTAAGTTTCAAAAGGTAACGAAATATGCTTTATTTTATTCTTCTGTAATTGTTCTTAAAATATCAAGAGAGTTTTTTGCTATTGCAGCAGTTACAGATCCAACCGTGCGAGATATAGGTCCGGGTCGCTAAAAACCTGAATATGTAATAATGATTGGCGAAACATTCATGCATTTAAGGGTTAACAAGGATTGCAAAAGTACTCATTACCCATAATGCACCTAAAGAAGCAATGAAAAAGTACTCATTACCCATAATGCACCTAAAGAAGCAATGCAAAAGTACTCATTACCCACAATGCACCTTAACAAGCATTGCAAAAGTACTCATTACCCATAATGCACCTTAAAAAGGAATGCAAAAGTACTCATTACCCATAATGCACCTTAACAAGCATTGCAAAAGTACTCATTACACACAATGCACCTTAAGCAGTGCAAAAGTACTCATTACCCATAATGCACCTTAACAAGCATTGCAAAAGTACTCATTAAGTAAAATACTAAAAAAAGCACATGCTGCACACTCAAAAATCACAAGCGAGACGAAAGCAATGCAGGCAATTTACTGAAAAAAACAAGGCAACAAGGCAAACATTTCAGTCACATGTTGACCATTTTCAATGGCAAGCTAACAATGCTGGAACAGAAGCCATCTTGATGCAATGCAGAAGTACTCATTACCCATAATACACCTTAATGTTCAGTACAAAAATACTCATTACCATACCGTTCCTAAAGAGTTAGTACTGAAGTACCTCATTTTCCATAATGCACTTGTATGTGCATTGTAATCTCAATCACTGCTGATTTGTGTCCATCTGTAGATGTGAAGCAGGCGTTGATCCAGTGGCAGGAGAGGATTGATTTCGCTCATAAGCTGCTGACGCTGCTGAACTCTTACAGCCCACCAGAGCTGCGTAACGCCTGTCTGGGTGAGTCGCCACATCCACCAAACAAACACACCACTCTTCAAATGAACCGAAACAGCAGATGAATGTGATCTGAATGTGCATGTTTATTCTCAGATGTGCTGAAGGAGCTGGTGCTCTTGAGTCCTCATGACTTTCTGCACACGCTCGTGCCCTTCCTGCAGCACAACCACTGCACCTACCACCACAGCAACATCCCCAGTGAGTCCCGCCGAAAGAGCATACTTGCAGCACTGATCATCATCATCATGATCACCGTGATCTGTAACAATGTCTGTGTGTGTTTGCAGTGTCGTTTGGCCCGTACCTGCCCTGTAGAGAGAATATCAAGCTGATGGGCGGAAAGAACAACATTCGTCCTCCCAGACCGGAGCTCAACATGTGCCTGCTGCCCTCGATGGTGGAGACCAGTAAGGTGTGTATGAGACCGATGCATGATTCCTGTCGCACGCTGAGCTTAAGTTATTCATCGAGTGCGTTTTGTGTTTCCTGTAGGGTAAGGATGATGTGTATGACAGGATGTTGTTGGACTACTTCCTGTCGTATCATCAGTTCATTCACCTGCTCTGTCGAGTCGCCATCAACTGTGAGAAGTTCACCGAGACTCTGGTGAAACTCAGTAAGGATGCTTCACTCTCTAAAGCTCATATTGACTCTCTGTGTGTGTGTGTGTGTGTGTGTGCTAATGGTGTTTATTCACCTGTGTGCAGGTGTGTTGATAGCATATGAAGGACTTCCTTTACACCTGGCTCTCTTTCCAAAACTATGGACAGAACTCGCTCAGTCTCAGGTAAAATCTTCTCAGTCATCTCTCACACACACACACACATGATGAAGCAGTAAGTCAGAGGTCATGCTTTACCACAAGTTAAGCTTGATGAGACGTGGCATGCCTAAAACTGCGGTAAAATCACTGTCATGCATAGTTTTAAAGTATTTAAAATGTAATTGATTGAATAACTAATTAATTAATTCAGTATTTAAACTGCTCTCATAACTGTCTTTACATTACAGTACAATTTTTAATTACAAATCTCTGTATCTCAGATAGATGCCTAATATAGCAGACAGTAGAGGTGGCGTTTAAGCAGCAGATATTTCAGAGACATGACTATAAAAACAAAGCCGTGTCATCCAATCAGAAGTGAGAGTCAGATGTGTGTGTGTTTTCTGGTCTCTGTCAGTGTGCGATGGCTCAGTCGTGTGTGAAGCTGTTGTGTGAGGATCCAGCATTTGGAGAATACATGAAATGCATCCTGATGGACGAGAGAAACTTCCTCAACAACAACATCGCCTACTCCTATCTCACCTGCTTCTTACATAAAGTAAATACTCATCTACTTCTCAAGCAGATTTACTGTAATCATGGGTAAATCTTGTCTAGTTCTGAAGTAACTACACGACTCTCTTGCACTTTGAAACTTGATTTGTTTGTGTGTTTAGGTGCAGGTGCAGGTGTTATCAGGCCAGAGCTGCTCGAATCTCGTCAATGTGTTGGTGACCAACCTACTGAACGAGTACCACAGCCTGCAGCCTGAGCTGACCAATCAGAGAGCAGAGATGAGCAAGACCAGCAGCCTCCTGAACGCAGTCAGTACAGCTCCTCCTCACGTCTCACCCAGCGCTCCAGCGCTCTTTATTCATCCGTCTCGCTCTCTCTCTCTCTTTCTCTGTTGAAGGATCTGCGTGCGCTGCTGCTGGTGCTGTCGGTTTATGCCCCTCAGCAGCTGGACCCTGCTTTAGGCCCGGCTCTACAGGAGCTGCTGTCCAAATGCAGACTGTGTCTGCAGCACCACGCCACATTAGAGATGGAGGCCAAGGAACGCAAAGTCAGAGGTGTTAATACAAGCTCAAATACACTTAGATCACTGCCATGCATGGCTTTGAATTATTAAAAAATATATTATATTATTAATTAATAATGTAATTAATTAATATAATTAATTAATAATAATGATAATAATATTAATGCAATTTAAGTTATTTTAATTTATTTATTTAAAAAAAAAATGGTAGCAACAGCTATGAGTACAAAAAGGGAGAAGGTATTTCTTGTACCTCATGGCTTTGAATTATTTTATTTAAAGTAATAATAATGTATTATTATTATTATGCAATTGATTTATAAAATGGTAGTAACAGCTAGGGGTACAAAAAGGATTTCTTAAACATCTTCCAAATTACCAAAAGTACATTTTAAACAAATAATGTAAATAATATTGATACTTGTATTTATAAAGCGCTTTTCAGGGTACTCAAAAACACTTTAATTAAAAATATAAAATATAAAAATTCATTACATATTTTAAAATAAATGATTTAAAAATAAATAAAAGTAATTATTGTATTTATTTATTAATGAAAAAAAATGATAGTAACAGATAGGGGTACACCATTTTTTTGTACACCATGACTTTGAATTATATTAAATATCATATCATATATATAATTTGAATTATTTAAAATATATTAGTGTTTTCAAACGATTAATCGCAATTAATCGCATCCATAATAAGTTATTGTTTACATAATATATGTGTGTGTACTGTGTATATTTATTATGTATATATAAATACACACACACACACGGTATATATTTCAAAAATATTTACATGTATATACAGTATATTCATATAATTTATATTATATGTAAATATATTCAAAATATAAACAACTTATTTTTCTTATATATACATGCATGTGTGTGTATTTATATATGCATAATAAATATACACAGTACACCAATCTACTTCAACATATGCTGATAATGGTATATAGCTAACTGTTCATTTATTCCCTTAATATTTCTCTTGTGGCCCGTACATAGTGAAAAAAAAATGTTAAGAGACGTATTTCGTGTTAAACAGGTTGTTTTTGAAAGTCGGTGCTTGAAATAAAAGCTTTTTATTTCATTTATTTTTATTGATGACTACAGTGTTAATATTTTAATTAGGACTATAATTCATTGTATAATAGACCTTTTTTAAAAGACCTTATTTATAATATTTTAACTGAGTTAATAGCTTAATCTTTTGTTATACTCTCAGCGGGTCAGTTGTGTGGTAATTATTGCAAGGCAAATTAATTTTAATTTAATAAAAGTAACTTCATAATACTAATAGGCCTAATAAGAATGTAACATGCCTACATTAATTGGAAATGCCAAATCCTCTTAATATTGCCAAACATTGATGTTTTTGACGATATCTCTGGCTGTCGTCGATACAAGATCATCGTCTTTCGACGCACCGAAGCAAGGGGAGGTTATCGCGGGGCAGACAGCATGTTGTCTGTTGCGTCGTTTGGACTGCCTTGTGCAGCGGCACTGAGAACATTACTCACACACTTTAAGCTCTTTTATTTTCCAAATGTAATAGGATTAGCGCAACAAATCATTCGGTTTGTAATGCGTACCGAACCGAAAGCCTCTTACCGAGCGGTTCAATACGAATACGTGCATCTATATATATA